TCAGAACCTAAATAGCATCCATGTTAATGAAAAAGCTGAAGTAGATACACTCATCCAGAAGCATATACGCGTTGACTATGAAAGAAATGGTAAAAGAGCAAATTTACAGAAGTTGATTGTCTGAGCAAACTAGCCTGAGCAGCTAGCGCAAGTGCCAGGACCCTTCAGCGAGCACGCAATTGTATTCAAATTCTTCTTGTAGGCCTCTTCCACCAACTTCGTTGCTTCTATCGCCTCTGAGCTCTGATTCTCTTTATCAGCAAGAGATACAATCTTGCCGAAGCCGGTAGCCAAAATGACGCTAACCTCTTTCTTATTTACGGTAAATTTGATGGGATCAGCAGCAGGCCTGGTGCGAAGGTAATACATCCCTGTTTTGAGCCCACGCTTCCAGGCGTAGAAATGCATACTGGTGATTTTCCCGTAATTAGGCTCCTTCATGTATAAGTTAAGAGACTGGCTCTGGTCGATGAACGGAGCACGATCGACTGCCAGATCGAGTATTTTTTTCTGAGGTATCTCCCAGACTGTCTTGTAGAGAGCTTTGAGATCCTCCGGGATCCCGTCAATGTCTTGAATTGATCCCTGATTAGAGATTATCGCCGTCTTTAAATGGTCCGACCAAATTCCGAGGTCAATCAGATCGCGAAGCATGTGCGAGTTTACGATTTGGAAGTCTCCCGACAACACACGACGGCTGAACACGTTACTGGTGACTGGTTCCGTCGATTCTGTGTTACCCAGAATTTGAGCCGTAGAGGCCGTGGGCATAGGGGCGATTAAGAGACTATTTCGTACGCCAAACCTGTAAGCACATTAAAGTAGGTGTGGAAAGGCACGTCAAGAACCTACATAAAAGTACACACTTGAACTGACTCTTTGATGCGTTGACGAAGACCACTCCAATCGAGTCCCGAGATCTTGGACAATTCATCAGTGTTAACACCCCACATGTCAGGCTGAAGGATACCCTTGCTCACGGGACATCCCGGGTAGGACTCAAATGGACCGTCCTTCTCTGCCAATTTGCAAGAAGCATTTAACGCTGAGTAGTATATCGTCTCGAAAATGCGCTTATTCAAAGCGGCTGCCTCTGGACTATCAAACGGATAACGCATTAGAACGAAGGCATCATTAAGACCCTGTACTCCAATCCCGATCGGTCGGTGACGCATGTTCGACCTGCGAGCCTGAAGGAGACACACTGTAATTACGCGACCAATGCCTCAATATAAGAAAAAAATTGACACAAACCTCCTCCACGGGATAACAGTTCCGGTCAATTATTTTGTTAAGATTTTTCGTTATGACTTCAGTCACATACTGCAATTTGTTGAAGTCAAAACTCTTTGTGCTTGTGTTCACAAAGTTGGGGAGGGAAATAGAAGCCAAATTGCACACAGCAGTCTCCGTAGGCGAACTGTACTCGACAATCTCGGTGCAAAGATTTGAGCACTTTATAGTCCCTAGATGTTGATGATTGGACTTCCGGTTACAAGAATCCTTATAAAGCATAAAGGGATTGCCTGTTTCGATCTGATTCTCAATGATGGAATACCTGTAACGAAAAAGTTTCTAGAATGGGCACGGATGCAGGAATTCATCGTAGAAAGTCAAATGAGATGTACCAAACTTCTTGGGCAGGCAGCGTCTTGCGACCTCTACCTTCTGATTCGTACTTCGAGTAAAGTTGTTCGAAATCCTCCCCCCAGCAATCAGCAAGACCAGGGCATTCATGGGGATCCATAAAGGTCCATGAACCACCAGTTTCAACCCTCTTCATGAACAGATCGGGGATCCAAAGCGCGAGGAAAAGATCTCTTGCACGAATCTCCTCAGCGCCAGTGTTCTTCCGCAATTCCACAAATTGCAGTACATCTGGATGCCATGGCTCAAGGTAGACAGCGAAGGCGCCAGGTCGTTTGTTCCCACCTTGGTCTACATAACGAGCAGTGCTGTTGAAGACTCGCAGCATCGGTACAAGACCATTCGACTCCCCATTGGTGCCGGCGATGAACGTGCCCTTACTCCGAATACAATGAACATTGAGACCGATCCCACCCGCACTTTTGGAGATAAGGGCACACTGTTTGAGCGTGTCGTATATGCCCTCAATACTGTCATCCTTCATCGTGACCAAAAAGCAGCTAGACATCTGTGCATTAGGCGTCCCAGC